CGGAGAGATGTTGACGCCCTATCAGCTGGAACTCGTTGAGCAGGCTTTTCACTCCTTGGCTCCGAAGGGTGATGATGCTCTCCCCCGCATCGATGAGATATTCCGCGTCTTTGACGTCTCAATGCACCCGCGAGTGAAGGAGGGGGTCATGTCGCCAGGTGCAGTCCTGGAGATGCTGGCGTATCAGTTTGGTGAGAGTGAGAAGGAGCAGAACGGAGTCACGTTTGACGTGTTCATGCGCTTTCACGAGCGAATGGCTATGGAAGCGGCGAACGAGTGTGTTTCCGACACCGAGGGCTTCTTGACGGACACAATCAGGGGTGTGTGGCGCCTGCACGAGCTGCTGGAGCCCACGTTTATTCGCCCCGTCATTCCGATTGAGGGGTTCCCCAGCAACATTTACGCCACGCAGTTGATGTCGCTTGTGTGGCCGGATGAGAGCAAACCGCCGAGGTCTTACGTGCTACATGTGATTCATGGCGTCGTGCAACCCCTTTTCTCGCGTGGTGATTTGCCACCGGAGCTTCGTGGGTTTTTTGCGTACCCGGCAGAACTGGCGGGCATGAAACTCATTGAGGTTCCTGTACAAATATCCATGCAGCGCTGGTTAGACTTTGTCTGGGAGTACGCGGAAGGGAAGTATGTGGCTGTACCAGGCATTATATCTGCTCGCGTCGATCTAGAGACCGTGCCGGAGTATCTGCGGAAGCTCATTATTGAGCCCAAGGTTGTGAAGCAGCTGCCATCTGTACAGTTTGTTTCGACAATAAAGTCGCTAAACCCAATGTACAAGCGGACGAGCGACGGATACGGCTATGGTATAACGGAAGAAATCAAGCGTGTGCATCGTTGGAAGTGTGAAACACATGACGGGACGGCGTGTGGGCTGATTTACCACGGCCGCGTGGGCAAATTCACGAAGAAGCTCTACGGTCAGGCGCAGTCCCTGGCTGCAAGTGGCATCAATCTATGATGTAAATTTTCAATAAGAAGAAAAAAAAATTTTTGAAAATATGTTGTTTTTTTTTATGGAACACGCAGACTCTGTATTATATAGATACCCACGGGCGCAGTTGCTTTGAAAAAGAATCAGAGGCATTTATTTATCACGGGTGCATTTGCCTTTGCTTCTTTGCGCCTCCCTTCGCTTTGTTTGTTTTTTCCTCCATTTACCTTCTTCTCTCTCTCTTTCTCTCTGTGGTGTCCACGTGTAACTGTGGTATGTTTTTTTTTTTGTTTTGGCAGGGTTAGGGGGGAAAGGTGTGAGAATGAGCGGGGAAGTGAAGGAATTGGTGCACTGGCTGCGTAAGTGGGACCCCATCAACAGGAGTCTCCTTCACTTTGCCAATCACACTCACGCGCTGTACCCGTTTGAGATTTCTTGTAAAATTCTCCGGGCAGTGTCCTCGTCCTCAGTTTCTCTGGTTGGAGGGCATGAGGACAGTGAGGCATTACCACAACCGAAGGAAACCAAAGGGGGAATGGTGGTGGCAGGAAGTGTCGAGGAGGAGGCTTCGGCAGCCTTCACTGAGGCAGCGGATAGTAGCAACATATCGGTGTTGTACGCACGGGTGTATGATATGCTTTCCACCTTCGGCAAAGTAGAGTTCTGGTCGAACGCTGTCATTTTTCAGCACTTGCTTGTCTCGTCCCTTTTGGCGTGGGTAGCGCGGTTGTGTGCGAGCAGCGGCGATCGTCTGCATGCGTGCCCAGCCATATCCATTGAGGAGTTGACCCCGCAATTGCTTTGGTGGAAGTCCCATGAGTTGAGGGATGTTTGGGAAGAAGCTGTGAGAAACAACAGCAGACCGTGGACGGAGCTGGCGGGGCTGATGTCGACGGAGCCGGAGACGGATAGAAAGCGTTCTCGAGAGCGATCATTGGTCACAGTCACGTCATGCGCATCATCATTGGAGTTGCGGCCGCATAAAGATGGCGAAGGTGAGTGCAATTCCGGAGCAAGGCCTCATGGAGAAGAGGAGCGGAAGAAAAAGGAAGAGGAGGTGGAGGATATACTGGACCTACACACTCTT